TTTAGAAGGCAGAGCTGACAATTGGTTCCAAGGGGTCAAATTAGAGAAGCCAAGGCTGACCTGGGGGGAATTTGGGGAGTTGCTGTGCCAAAGATTCGAAGGTACGTGTTGCAGAGATATTGTGGAGGCATTTAATAAACTGCAGCAGGTTGGTTCAATAGAAGTTTACTAGGAGAGGTTTGAGGAGTTGAAAACACTAATGCTGATCCAGAATCCAGGTCTTAGTGAGGAATACTTTATCTCCAGTTTCACAAGCGGACTCAATTAGGAGATTAAGCCAATGGTCAAAATGCTCAGACCCAACACTCTCTCAGGAGCCATGGAGATAGCTCACCTGCAGGAACAGGCTCTCAAGTTGCAAGGGAAAACAGTTAGAGATGGCCACAAGGTAATGGCTGAACCCAAATTTGGAATGTATAGGCACCCGACCTCTACCAATGGGGGAGTTAGCACCTATAAACTACCACAGGATAATATACCTAAAGGAGCTTCCAAGATTTCAGATAGGAGCCCAAAGTTTAAGAGGTTATCTCCCCAGGAACTGCAATTCAGAAGGAATAATGGCCTGTGCTTCAAGTGTGGGGAGAAATTTGGGGTAGGACATCAGTGTAGGATGAAGCATTTGAATCTCATGATGTATGAGGAAGAAGAGGACACTGAATTCCAAGATGCTCAAGGAGAACAGGATGAGCTGACTGGGAATCCAGGGGAACCAGTGGAAATTTCACTGAATGCTCTCTCGGATTCACTAAGGCGAAATACAATCATGCTACAAGGATAGCTATTAGGGAAACCTGTCAAGATTCTGGTGGATATAGGCAGCAGTGATAGTTACATCCATCACAAGTTGGTGACTGCACAGGGCATTCCCTTTGAATATGTCAAACCTTTCACTGTCACCATGGGGGATGGGAGCTTGGTAACCAGTGGGGCTCAGTTCCCCAAGGTTCTATGGAATATTCAGAACTACAAGTTTTGCTTTGACCTCAGAATTATGGAGTTAGGCGAATGGGATCTCATTTTGGGGATGGATTGGATGCACAATTACAGTCCCATTACTTTTGATTTCCACGAGCTAAAAATCTCTATGTATCATCAAGGAGAGGTGGTCACTCTGCATGGGGCAGTTACTGATGCCACCATGGAGTTGGTTAGAAGGAAGGATCTCAGGGGTTTCCTGCAGGAGAAGAGGAAATGTTGTGCTATCTCAGCACAATGTGGAGATAGGGAAATAGAAAGGAAAGTGGTTCCAGGATCAATAGCCGCAGTATTGGAGCAATTTCCAGAAGTATTCCAGGAACCTACTCAGTTGCCCCCCAACAGACCCTTGGATCATCAGATTCCTCTCAAGCCAGGAGCACAAGCCTTCAAAATGAAACCATACAGGTACCCTCACTCACAGAAGGCAGAGATTGAAAGACAAATTGCAGATATGCTGAAATCAGGAATCATCAAGCCAAGCAATAGTCCCTATGCTTCACCTGTGCTGCTGGTCAAGAAAAAGGACAATACGTGGCTTTTTTGTGTGGACTACAGGCACCTCAATGACTAAACAATTAAGGACAGATATCCTATCCCCAACATTGATGAACTCCTGGATGAACTTTATGGAGCCAAGTTCTTTTCCAAGATTGACCTGAGGTCAGGATACCACCAGATCAGAGTTAAGGTAGCAAATACTCACAAAATTGCCTTCCAAACTCATCAGGGACACTATGAGTTCCTGGTGATGCCTTCTGGGCTCACAAATACACCAGCAACCTTTCAGGCATTAATGAATCAGATTTTTGAACCATTCCTAAGGAAGTTTGTTCTGATTTTCTTCGATGATATTCTGGTCTACAGTACTACTCTAGATCTCCACAGGGAGAATCTCAGGCAAGTACCGAAGGTGCTTCAACACAACCAGCTATATGCTAAGCTCTCCAAATGCTCCTTTGCTCAGCAGAGATGGAGTATCTGGGACATGTGGTGTCTAGCAGAGGGGTGAGTATGGACATGAGCAAGGTGGAGTGCATCCAGACATGGCCTATTCCCAGGAATGTTAAAGAACTTAGGGGATTCCTAGGCCTCACAGGTTACTACAGACGTTTCATAAAAGGCTATGGAACCATCAGCAAGCCATTGACTAATCTACTGAAGAAGGATGCTTACAACTGGAATGCTGATTCTGACAAAGCCTTCAACCACCTCAAACAGGCCATAAGTAGTGCCCCAGTGCTAAGACTGCCCAATTTTAGTATCCCTTTTGTAGTAGAGACTGATGCAAGTGGGCAAGGCATGGGAGCTGTCCTCTTACAGGAGGGTCACCCAATAGCCTTCATTAGCAAGGCCTTCTCCCTCAGGAACATGGGGCTGTCTGTTTATGAGAAGGAGTTGATGACACTAGTTTTTGCAGTAACAAAGTGGAAGCACTATCTGATTGGGAACCATTTTATTATTAGAACAGATCACAAATCCCTGAAATTTCTACTGGAACAAAGGCTCACGACTACTGCTTAGTACAAGTGGTTGACAAAACTGTTAGGATTGGATTATGAAATCCAGTATAAGAAAGGATCAGAGAACACTGTTGCTGATGTTCTATCTAGGAGGACCATGTTGGATCAGCAACCTGCACGACAACAGTTGATGGCCATTACCAGTGCTCAACCCTTATGGATGCAAGAGCTACAAGATAGCTACTTTGAAGATACACAGTGCAGGGAGTTGATGAGTCAACTACTGCTGGATCCTACACCCCAAGACTCTGATTTTCAACTCAATCAAGGGATACTCAGATACAATGGGGAGCTGTATGTGGTAAATAGCAAGGGAGTTAGGCAGAAAATAATCAAGGCTCTACATGAGTCCCCCATTGGGGGACATTCTGGTCAAAGAACTTGCCTACAGAAAGTGTACAGCATATTCCATTGGCCAGGAGTAAAGAAGGATATCATACAGTTCGTACAAGAATGTGAAGTCTGCCAAAGGAACAAAAGTGAACGAGTGCCATATCCAGGGCTACTACAACCTCTACCAATTCCTACTCAGGCCTGGTCACATATTACTATGGACTTTATTGAGAAATTACCTTCCTCTAGGGGATTTGACACTATTATGGTAGTAGTAGACCGACTGACAAAGTTTGGTCATTTTATACCACTTTCTCACCCTTTCACAGCTGCCCAAGTAGCACAAGTCTTCCTAGATAATGTCTACAAGCTCTATGGTTTACCAGAGTCCATCATAACAGACAGAGACAGGGTATTCACTAGTGGTTTCTGGCAGGAATTGTTCAGGATGGCTGGAACTGAACTACACTATAGTTCCTCCTACCATCCTGAGACTGATGGTCAGAGTGAGAGATTGAATCAATGTCTAGAGACCTACTTGAGACGCATAACCAGTGAGAGTCCAACTCAGTGGAGCCACTGGCTCAGTTTAGCTGAACTGTGGTACAACACTGCATACCACACGAGCTTGGGAGTTTCTCCATTCGAGGCTCTCTATGGTTACAAGCCTTTGCCACTGCCCTTGGGACCCTACCATGATACACTAATACTAGCAGCTCATGACATGTTGCAGACAAGAGCCCAAATGCTTCACAGGATCAAAGAGCACTTGCATCAGGCTCAAAATAGGATGAAAATATTTGCTGACAAACACAGGACAGAAAGGCAGTTTGTGGTGGGAGATTGGGTTTTTTTGAAGTTGCAACCTTATAGACAACAGACGGTGGCACTCAGGAAAAATCTAAAGCTAGCTGCGAAATTCTTTGGACCCTTTCAAATAGTGGAAAAGATTGGAGCTGTCGCATATAAACTCAAGCTTCCACCAGGCTCTAAGGTGCATCCAGTTTTTCATGTATCACTTCTAAAGCCTAAGTTGGGACCCCCATCAGTCCACTACTCCTACACTACCAGAGTTTGATGGATGTGATCAGTGCCTGCTACAGCCTGCAGAGGTCTTGCAAAGGAGGGTGATCATGCGCAATGGTGTTCCTGTGATTCAGTACCTCATAAAGTGGCATCAGCTAGGAGAATAAGAGGCATCGTGGAATGATCAATCTTTCATCACCAGGCAATTTCCTGAGTTCCAGCCTTGAGGTCAAGGCTGCCCTTAAGGGAGGAGTAATGTCAGGACCAGGGGCCCAATTGCAATCAGATAGGAAGTCTCAGGGGAGCTAGCGTAATTAGTTAAAAATCAGAACCAGGGACCCAATTGTAATCAGATATAAGTCTCAGGGGCGCTAGCGTAATTAGTTTAGGTAGGACCAAATGTTGTTAGAATTCGTTATAATTGAATTCAGTTAGAATCAAGCTCAGTGCACGGAAATTCCGTGCCAGAAAGGTTCAAACCAATTGAGCTGTATAAATCCAAGCAATTGGGTAGATTGGATAACAAGAAAAAAGAGAATTCAAATTTCCCTCTCAAATTCATATGTCCTTGATCCTCTCCTCTTCTCTCTCCCCTTTCTTCTTCTTTCATCCCAAATCTGTTAATCCCAATTCCTTCTCCCATCCTTCGTTTGAGAGGTCCTGACACATCTCTTAGCAATCTCTGCTGCCCTATTCATTGTGAATGTAAATGCTGGTTTTTGCCCACCGCGATATTGGCCGCACATCAAACCATGGCCACACTTTAAACATAAACCCTCAATTATTATTCCACTATTCCCAAACAAAAAAAAAACCACCTTCTCCTTCATCACCTAAGAAATCACCTCCGCCTCGACTAAAAAGTAACTCACCTTGCTTCATCTCTCCCACAAAAGAAATCACCCCCACCTCCATCGCCATCACCTTCTCCACCTCCACCTCTTAAGAAATCAACTCCGTCTCACCCACCAAAGAAATCACTCCCAGCCCTTCAACCATCACCTCCTTCTCCATCTTCTCCTCGACCTCCACTACTTAAAAAATCACCTCCGTCTCCACTAGAAATCACCCACCAAAGAAATCACCCCTGCCCCCCACCACCATCACCTCCTTCTCCATCTCCTTCTCCACATCTACTACCTAAAATGTCACCTTCACCTCTAACTCCACGAAGAAAACACCGCTATCTCCTCCACCACCAAAAAAGAGTCCATCCCCACCACCAAAAAAATCACATCCACCATCATCACCACCTACTTCTCCACCATCTAGACCTCCACCGCCTAAGAAATCACCTCCATTTCCTCCGCTTCTTTCACCACCACCACCCTTTCCCCCACAGCCTTCACGTCCACCATCCTCTCCTCCTCCACCTCGCTGCCTCCTTCACCACTACCACCTTCTCCTCTGCCACTTTCACCTACGCCTCTTTCTCCACCACCCATTTCCCCTCATTCACCTCCCTTACCATTCCTGCCTTCTCCTCCACCTTCATCACCATCATCTCCTCCGTCTCCCTCATCACCACCACCACCACCTTCACCTCTACCTTCATCTTCTCTGCCTCCTTCTCCATCACCACCTTCCTCTCCTCTACCTTGGTCTCCATCATTTTTGCCATCTCTGCCTCCGCATTTTTCACCAACCCCGCGTTCTTCTCCACCTCCTCCACCTCCTTCACTGCCACCACTACCTTCACCTCCACCACCTCCACATAGAAGATCACCAAATGGTGCATCGTGAGAGGATTAAAAATGACAATTCATCCTCTGGAAGATAAGTTCATAGTCGTTTCTGTAGCTCCACCTACCTTCATTATCACTAGATAGAATTTAATAGTTATTTAATCCTGCTCTATGCATATGTCTTCCATTAGACCGTCATTTGAATTCAGTCATACGTCCTAAATACAAATTAGAGATCATATATAAAGCATTACAAATAAAGGCCTACGAAGCTCAGATGTGAATAGTTGGGCTGGATTTTCTACTTTTAAGTGAGACGTCATCAACTATAGTTGTAAACTTCAAAATCATATGGTGAATAATATTTCATATGCCTTTTTTTAGCAAATTTATAACCTTTTTCCATTGATAGATCAATCAATAAAGCTTTACAAAAAATGATAAAATCCTCAATCTACCTTGGACTGCACAATTTCTGTACACTCTACTGTCAAAATTCGAAAGAAAAGACAATAAGAATCATACAAAGCAACTTTATCTAATCCCAACTCAAGAACCAACTCCCATTTCTCTCTGGTGCGAGGAATCTTGCTTCAAGAGGTAGCAACTATTTGCATTGCATTGACGACAGCAACCACTACGCCCACACTGGAAGGCCTGAAATAAACTCTTGTTTCTAGTCTGCCTTAGGAAGTAGACAGTCATAGAGAAAGCCACACTCTTGACTTTATTAGCAAAAGATTGAGTCCTACAATTCTTACGCCACCACTACAACTCATCATTCCAATTCAGCATGCTTCTACCAGGGGCGGAGCCAGAAAAAAATTTTAGTGGGGGCAAAAATAATACTAAAATTTTTTATTTACTCTTTTTCTAATTTTTTTTAAGCAAAAAAAAAAAGCCTCATGCATAAAATCACCATTTCACAAGTTAAAATATGTATCAAATAACCCATTTATTAGTTATTACATTAACTAATCAATTTTTAAATTTCTTTAAAACAGTAATAGTCTCATGCTCTAGAAATATATTTGCAAATAAATTTAAAATAATAATAATAATAAGTAATTGTTTAGAACCTGATTTTGATGGTCTCCTAAAGTTGGTGAAAAGAGCTGCAAAATGTGGTGGACCCAAGTCCTAGAAAATCAATTGATTCTGATGCAATCTCTAAATAGGATGAAGTGATCAAAAGAAAGAATAACAAGCTTTGGTTGTGGAAAAAAATGGCTCTCTTATGTATGTTGGGGAGTGGGGACAACCGAGAGCCAAACGAGGAAAGGGAAATTGGAGAGTGTGGACAAAGGAAGTAAATGATAATTGGATGAAGTGATAAAAATAAAAAGTAGTTGACTTGGGTATGGAAGAAGAAGAACCGGTTGTGAAGGGAAATGGAGGACCACAGGAGTAAAGGGAACTTGGGGAGTGAGAACCAAAAGGAATGACTGATATAATTGGTACTTGGCCCTGTTGGTGGGAAAATGGGAACTAAAGGAGGAAAGTGAATGATATAAATTTTGTGATCCATTCTTTCACATTTTTTCTAAAACAAATTCTGGGGGCACCTTTAAAATTATGTCAAAATTATAGATATATTATAGGAAATTGATGGAGGCAGTGGGGGCCGTGCCTCCACTTTAAATCCGCCCCTGGCTTCTACAGAGTAGACAGAAACTCCGGATTTTATCCCACACAATTCTAGCAAATCGACATTCAAAAAATAAATGACCCTGCGTTTCTTCTTGCTCATGACGCAGTTCACACAGAGGAGAAGAAACTTTCATGCCCCACTGTTTTAAGTCTTTCTTTTGTGCTCAAACGTTGTCTGATAATGCATACGCCTTTTTGTACTTTACTGCAACAAGTTGAATAAATAGAATTCCGCAACAATAGATTATGTTATCGTACTTTTATGTTTCCATCCAGCTTAACGGTCTATTGTAATCATGATTATCGAAAGAAGCACATGACGGTTTAACCTCAAACTGGATCAGAGGAATGTCAGTCATCACAATCAAGATGCTTTTCACAAGACATGAGTATAGGTGATCCCCTTTATGGTATTTAAAATAATGTTAAAATTCAAGTGGGAACTGCAAATAGGGTGACGGATTTTAGATATATAGCATATTTTAGTTTCACGTGCAAATGGTACTCAAAAATCTTGGCAGAAAGGTTAAAATCAGTCCAGTTAGTTTGATAAACTGTAAGAAAAAGGCATGTAATTCGTGGTAGAGTAAAGGCGGAAGTGTTGGAGCCATATGATTTTGTTAGCAGGGACTTCCTTGGTTCCTATTAATAATGGTTAGGAATTCACTTCCAAGGTTTCCCATGTGGTTTAATAATTGTACAACTAGTGTCAATTTTTCAGTGAATATGAATGAATTGCTTGTTGGGCACTTTGGGCAAGAGAAAGGCCGCCTTGGGCATGGAAATCGAATTTCTTCATACTTACTTTAACTAGTATTTTGCCTATTATTTGAGAAAAACATTGGGCGGTTTGGATATGGTTCCCTTGTCAGAATGTCAAATTCCGGCAGTATTGCCTTTAGCTTTTGCAAATGAATTAATTTTTTTTAGCGTAGTTAGAAAGGAGATATCCTCTAAAACCTGGAATTGATTCTCCTATGTAAATGATCTTTGCATTTCAAAATTTTTTGAAAAAAGATAATGAAAGTAATTTTTTTTTTTTTAAAAGATGGATTTACATTGAGAAACAAAAAAAGTTACACGAAAGTATTACGGCAAAACCTTTAAAGAAATATTCTGAGCGACTAAGGATGAATAAAAAGAAAAATAAGGAATTTATTTTTCTAGGAAATTTCATCTTTTCTAAGACTGTTCTTTTTTTTTTTTTTACATGTTTGGTAATATAATATTTCCTTAAATTCTTTTTTGTAGTTTATATAAATGAAGTTATTTTCTTGGTAACGTACTTCTATTAATTAGCCCAAAGCATTTATCAATGATCATATATGATCATTTTTGCTTAACTTTCTGTTAAGAAATTTTATTTTAGTTTTCTTAATATGCAATGCGGTAAACTGCAACAACTTCGTCTTTGTAAATTTTTTTTTCAACAAGTTAGTCTTCTAACTTTTATTGTTACAGCATTGCTTGTTCGGACTACAAAATGGCTCTTGCTTCCATTCTTCAAATCTCCCACGCCTCATTCTACCAGAATTTAACTGAACCTACTCTAATATCACTTGTCGAAAACTTTTGACAAATAAGATGGGGGATTACATAATCTGTGCATTAACTGAGAAAATTATAAAGTTGTTATGGATATTAAAATTCTTCCACCAGAAGTAACCTTTGGTCTCCCATTCCTATATAGGGGTCCTAACGATATTTGAATGTGACTATGAAGGGGCTCGCATCGCATGCATGTGATCTCACTCTCACTTTATTCTGTTTTTAAGATCTCTTTTATATCTTTATCAGAAGAAAGGGAGATCCAAGTTCTTTTCTTCTAAATTCAATGACTGGACTTCTATTTTTTTTTTTTAAAAAAAAAATTGATTTTTCTTACATAGGGAAGGCGTGAAATTTTAGAAGTAGCGAGACAAAAAATGAATTTGAATCCAAAACTTCTAATTTCTACAGCGTCAACTTTAATCACTAGATCGAGTCTTTCTCAGTGTGATTGAGCTTACATAAGTGCAATAATTTGGCACAATTAACGTCACATGCACCCTCCCCCTTTCGGGGTATTTTTGTTATTTCTAAAAGACCTAATCTACACATTTTAAATTAAAATGGGTGAAATGACACAAAAGAAAAAAGTTCAGCATGTGAAATAAAAGTTTATTCTTGACCAGAATAAATGGCCAAAATGTGGCTATGATGGTAGTTTACATGTCCGGCGCAACAACTTTTTGTTAAAGATGAGGGCAAACTCCACTTTACCCCCCTGTAGTTTAGCGTTTTTCACATAACCCCCCTGTGGTTTCAAAAGCTATACATAACCCCCTCATGGTTTGGATTAAAGTGTCAAAGTAACGGAAATGGTCACTCGTAACGGCGTCACCTAAAATGTCAAAAATACCCTTATGTAAGGTTGAAATTTATGTATTAACCAAGGGGGGTTATGTGTATATTTTGAAAAGCATAAGGGGGTTATATGGTAAAGTATTAAACCATAAGGGGGTTATATGGTAAAATATAAAAATTATAGGGGGTTAATGTGTCATGTATTTATAAGGGTAATTTCGACATTTTTAGAAGTTCCGTTACGAGTGACTATTTCTGTTACTTTGACACTTTAATCCAAACCATGAGGGGGTTATGTATAGCTTTTGAAACCATAGGGGGGTTATGTGAAAAAACGCTAAACCACAGGGGGGTAAAGTGGAATTTACCCTAAAGATAATGGAAGCAAATTAACAAAATGATCAAAACACTGCGCATTTAGAAGTTTAACTAGTGATTTAACGCCCAAGAAATGTCAGTGGGCCAAACGAATTTTTTCAGTGGCCATAGTTGCATTTTACTGATAATAACTACGAGCAAGTACTAAGCCATGAAAAGTACCAATAAGTCCGTAAGATCCAAAAGAAAAAGGGAGGGTCCGTAAGATCAATACAGAATATCAAGTCTTATTCGATACATAATAGATAAACGTAGAACAAGATCATAGTGCTTGTCACTTAAATTCCCAGGAGTAAGGAACTGGTTTTAAGGTAAATACAGTACCTAATACAACTTCTTGCTGCAGAGCTCGAAACTCTGCCCATACCTATTCTTCAGGTATTATTATTCATATTCTGCATTTCTTTTTCCTTTATTTAGCATAGGGTGTGTAATATATGTAGTGGTGCACTCAAATCAGGTGCCAGAGGAGAACAATTACTGCAAAATGGGGGGGGGCAGTATTGGAATCCCTCTTCGAGGAGGTGGACGTGAAGGTGGACTCTTCCCAGGTGGTGGTGGAGGCGGACGGAGTCGTAGTTTGCAGGGATCTGGTGGGCAGAGGAAGTCTGGTACTAGTGGCAGAGAAATACCACAGAGCCTACAAGCATTGGCGCTCATGGACAGCATGGAGAAGAGT